AGGCCGGTCCAAATCGATTGGACCGATTTCTAGAGGGAAACAGAGTGGAGATAAGCCCCATGTGCACGCTCTGATGCGTGGGGGAGCGTGAAATGGTAACAGGGTCTGGGGTGGATGGCCGATTATTCCCAGAGCATCCAAACAGCTAAAACAACCCACATTAACTCAACAATAAACCAAAAACCGCAATAAACAATCGGAATAATGATAATAGCTTACCCACGTCGACGATGGGGAAAACGACGACGATGTCGACGACTTCAGTAGGGTTTTGTGTGTACGAGAACAAGGAAGCTAACGGAGTAGGCGGTGAGGCGAACGGTTGAGTATGGTGGCCAAATTTCGTAAAAAATCAAACGGCGAGGCTACGACGGTTTACTCCCAATTTTACCCAACCAGTAGCTGATTTAGGTTGCTAACGGTTGGGTTGGGTTTGCCAAAGAATGATGGTTCAATCGGTGGCGAAGAAACGCAATAACGGCGGTAAAAACGGTGATGGGGAGCGGCGACTTAGGGTTTTTATATTTGGGATTTTAGCTCTCGACAGGGGATGGATTTGATTTGGGTTTTGGGGTATTCATTTTTAAGCCTATAAAATATATATCCATTAATTAATAACATTAATAGGAGCCTAGTCTAAATGGTAGAGTTATTGGTAGCCTTACCCTAGGGGACGCGGGTTCAAGCCTCTCCAACCACCCCATTCTCTTATTTTTTTCAACATATAAGAAAAATGGGTTCATTCAGTGTTAAGTCCCTAAATTTCCAAAACTGTCAAATTTAGCTCATAAGTTTCAAAAATGTATAGTTTAGTCCGGTAAACAATTAAATAAATTTTAGTTAAAATTTCCGGTTATGACACTTAAATAATGTAATATACAAGTAACAACTTTGTAAGAACTAAACCAACTGAATCATGGCAATCATAAGCCTGAAAAAACGTCTCAATTCCTTCTATGTATTACAAGTCAATCCAATTCAAACAGTCACAATTTAATAAGATAGACACCCAAAAATATCTTATCCAACAATGTCCTAAAATAATATCCAACATCTATAATCATAACAAAATATGTATAACTGAAATATTATTCATAGATAAGGAAAATCCAAACAAACATTGATATCTAGAGTATCAAACAAACATAAATGGGTAAGGCATATTCATACATTAATGATTAATCTATACAAGGACGTCGCAACTACTCCTATTTCATTAATATGGCCAATAAATGTCTAGGAGCTAGTCCTTTAGTCAATGAATCTGCAATCATATCATTGGTGCCAATGTGAACTATTTCAAATCTTTGATTTTGCACATATTCTTTGATAGATAGATAATTTAAATCCACTTGTTTTGCACCCTTGTAGTATCTATCATTCTTTGAGAAGAATACAGTTGTCACATTATCACAATAAATCCTTATCGATTTAGCAATAGTACCAATGATGCCTAAACCATTAACAAAATTGCACAGCCATAACAATTGAATTCTAGCTTCAAAGCATGCTACAAATTCATCCTCCATAGTGGAAGTAGCAATGACAGGCTGCTTACCACTCTTCCACGAGACAACTCCATCAGCTAGAAGGAACACATAGCCGAATTTGGACTTACGGGTATCCAAACATCCAACATAGTCTGAATCTGAGTAACCAAAAACCTCAAGGTTACTACTTCTTCTATATGTGAGCATGTGATCCTTAGTAACTTGTAAGTACCTTAAAACTTACTTTGCAGCTCTCCAATGAACCAATCCAGGAAACAACACAATATACCGACCGCAAAGCTTATATTCGGTATAATACAAGTCTGAGCATATATCAAACTCCCAACTAAAAGAATAAGGGATATTATCAATTTCTTTGTGCTCCATATAGTTTTTGGGACATTGGGACATACTGAAATTGTCTCATTTCTGGATGGGAACTGGACTAGGTGTACATGATTCCATCTGAAATCTTTCTAGAACTTTGTTGATGTAATCCTTTTGAGACAATCCCAAAATTCATTGTAATCTATCCTAAAATATTTCTATTATGATCACATAGGAAGCGTCACCCATATCTTTCGTCTCAAAGTTACTATAAAGATATCCCTTAACATCATGCCATAACCCACGATCACTAGTGGAAAGAAGAATATCATATACATACAACACAAGGATTATAAACTTTCTTCCCATAACCTTTATATAGATACATCAGTCAACAGTCATTTTTACAAAGCCATATAACAATACAATATCATTAAAGTTCAAGTACCATTATCGAGAAGCTTGTTTTAATCCATAGATTGATTTCTTCAACCTACATACCAGATTTCTTTCATTTATTGTCTTAAAACCTTGAGGTTGATCTATATATACCTATTCTTCAAAATATCCATTGACAAAGGTTGTTTTAACGCCCATTTGGTTAAGCCCAAATCAAAATGAGCCATCAAAGCCATTACAATCCTTAAAGAGTTATTTCTAGAAACCGGAGAGAAATTTTCTTTATAGTCGATGCCATCCTTCTGAGTGTAACCTTTAGCAACAATTCTGGCTTTGTACCTCTCGACATTTCCCATAGAGTCTCTCTTGGTCTTCAATACCCACTTACGGCCGACTCTTTTAGAATCTTTTGGCAATTCCATCATTTCTCAAACATTGTTATCATCCATGGATTTCAACTCTTCCTTAATGGCCATCAAACACTTGTTAGAATTTTCACCGTTCGTGGCTTGGTCAAAAGAGACTGAGTCATTAGAAATGCTCAAGTCACTTTCATGCTCAAGTTCATAAACTATATACTCATTTGAAATAGCCGATATTTTCTCTCTGGTAGACCTCCTTGATGTTATTTCTTCTTAAGGTTGCATTTGCTCATTAACTTGATAATTTTCCTCCTCTTCTTGAACAATGGCATCCATAATTGGATTTGGAGCATTCATTTGTTGTTGTCCCATATTCATGCCTTGTGGTCGTGCTACAATAATAGGAACATCAACTTGAGATGGAACACTTGATGGGTTTTGGTCCATCAATGACTCTCTTGTCTCTACATTACGTGCTCCCATATTCCTACGGACTTTGTCATTTTCAATAAAGTGAGCATTCCCAAACTCTATAATTCTCGTACTATGGTTAGGACAATAAAATCTATACCCTTTTGACCTCTCCGGATATCCAATGAAATAACCACTAATTGTCCTATAATCCAACTTCTTTTCATGTAGATTATATATCATCACTTCGGCTTGGCAGCCCAACACGTTAACATGTCTTAAACTAGGCTTCCTAGATGTCCATAATTCATAAGGTATCTAAGGAATTTCCTTACAAGGCACCATATTCGATATGTTTCCGGCAGTCCTCAATGCATACATCACTACTAGAAAAAACCCCTTTAACGACGCTCATTGTGCGTCATCTATGGGTGTGGATGACACACAAATGCCTATCATTGAAGCCACCGACATGAATTTTAGATGACGCGCATATATGACACACATTTATGACACATATTTATGACACGCATTTATGACATTCATTGAGCGTTATTGAAGCCCCCGTCATAAATGAAGATGACACACATTTGTGTGTCATAAATCTATGACACTCATGTATGACTTACATTGCATGTCACTGAAGCATACGTCATTAAAAAAGATGACACACATTCATGTGTCGTGATTGTATTTCTTAATTATATATATATATATATATATATATATATATATATATATATATATATATATATATATATATATATATTGTAGATTGACAAATAATCAAACAAAATCACATTTAATGCCTCATAATACTAAATATATATCATATTATATATAAGCAATCCATTTGCATACAATATATTCACATCAAGTAATCATATGTCGATACAAAATATCACGGCATAATAAAGTTCTACTAATATGCCTTTGCCATCCGGGCGTGTACACAAGAAATCATCATCAAGTTCTACTAAAGAGGAGTCTTGTGAAAAATCAAAAGTAGCATGGTATTCCAACATATCATCAGTTTCACCATTTGCTCCATACTTGTACATCATATGTGGTGTGAAGTCGACAACAGACAAATTCACACCTTGTCTACCTAGCAAAAAGAACACAACTTGGAAGATTCATTGCATACTATTAAGTCTGTTAACTAGTTAAGATTCTGAAGAACTTTGATAAGTTAGAGAACTACTAAGTGCAATACAATTCTCCCAAGTTTCAATTCATACCTTCTGCATATCTGATCCAAGATTCCAGTGCTTCTGCAACTTGTATTTCAGAAGATACAAAAGATTATGATAGAAATAGGTATCTCATCTTAAAAGAAAAGTCAGTGGTGCATTGTGAAAAACTTAATGAAGTATGTATAGTGATGGTATATGTATAATGGCACGTTAAAAAAGTACATGTATTCAAGGTACGAAATAAGAAAATTAAATGATGAATCTACATACAAAATCAGAATCCATCTAGTCCTATATGACATCATGTTCCATTCAAATTCATGTGGTCTTTGATGGTCAAAATGACACCATAGTACTAATAGAATTACTTAACAGAGGAATGATTTACCAATCAAGCAAAGGAGAACTTGAAAATCTAACAAATAGTTTTCATTTCCATGGCAATAAAAATGAACCAAAACACTGAATAACCTTCAATTGTATATTGAATTAACTTTGATCTGAGCAGGTACCCTTTCTCGAACTAGCTTGGCAAGGATACAAAGGAACTTCTTATAAAATCAATAAATTTATGTCCAGAGGAAAAGCAATAGTCAGTAAATACCATCAAACTGAACAACAGAAACAAGCACCAAATATATCTCAACATGTTATTATCTATGGAAATTAACATATTAAACAAAAGTTCAGCTTATATGTTACATTTCACTTGACAGCTGATGCATGAATACAATAAAAAGAAAAAAAAAGTTCACCTATTATTTCTAGAAAAGAAATAAATGGCAGAATTCAAAAGGTAACCAAAAAAATAAAAAATAACTACCTTAGCATCTTCATAAGTAGACATGTAACCAAAAGATATTGTAACTGCTCCAGTTGGTTTTCCATTTATTACATCATTGTCATCCCAGCAAACATGCCCAGCCTGAACTCAAAGCAAAGCTCATTTTATTTCTTTCCTGGTAAATCAACCACATTCGTATAACTCAACCACTAAAATGTAGTAAAAATATTATCAATCAAACAAAAGAAAGGCATACCTCTAAGTTAGAAAGAAGATCTGAGTGAGACAAGCCAAGATATTTTGTACAAGCACCAGGATTGCAAAAGCATCCAGTCTACAACAAAACAGCAACGGAAGGGAAAAAGAATTACCATCACAAAGCTAGTAACACAAGTGTAGTCAATTATTGCTTTAATCTTCATCAAGATCAATAACACCAGTTTTCCTAGATCAAATAAATAGATATAGTAGCAGAAAGATAGAAAGTTGCCTCGTATTATTCCAAAGAATTTTAAGGTTATTTTTTTTTTGAAAAGTGAATTTTAAGGTTTTAAGCAAAAAATCACTATTTGTTTATGAAGTTATGCTTGCTCTAGACATTTTCTCAGAGTTTACCCGTAACTGAATCCCAGATAAGGATGCCAAATTTTCCTCCTCCCGATATCCAAACCAAGAGCCATCTGGTCTTTTCAGGTTAAACAAGACAATGGAGCAAGATTCATGCATAGAAACCTATGAGTAGAGTTGCAAAACATTTAAAGAAAGGTTAATAATTTAAAAATATATATGGAAAAAATGGAAAGCACGATCAAAGCAAATTATAACATAAAGCTTCAAACATCCAAATAGACCAGACTGAGTGATTATAAGCAAAAAACTGCATTGGAATCCCACACACAAAGCAATATGCATTATTAAACCTGAAATATTGAAATGCCTTACATGATATGGATTTTAAAGAGGAAAAAAAGCAACATGAGAAGATTCCCATCTTTTTCCCATTTCAAGTACATCTGAAGCAGTAATAATATGGCATAATTAATGCTTATTCGAGGACATCTATTGCCTTTAAGTTATGCAACTAACCTTTAGAGCATAATTTCCATAAATAGTGCAAACACTTGCTCCATTTTCATGACGCAAATCTAAGAGTTGCTTCTTCAAAAACATTGTAAGTGACATAGTATGCCTAGAAGAGAACAGTGTTAGAGAAGAGGAGGCAGTAATATGTGACATAGTACAAACCTTTCAAAATGTTGGCATAGGAAACACCCCAGAAGAGTGGATCAAAGGGGTCACCAAACTGAAGAAGAATTGTAACATACATGAAGGTCGAGCAAAGAAGTTTTATCATGATTTACGAGTGGCAGAAGAAATACGCAATACGTCTGTCAGTGAATTGAAAAGATGTCAAGTCGAAAATCAAAGGTTGAATAGTGCTATGACTAACATGGAAGCATCATATCAGATCTATCAGCATGAGATTGATACTGATTAAAGGATTATAAAAGAACAAGACTTGAAGAAATTTTAGATGATTATAGAGATAGTGTACGAGAACTCTGTAAACCACGCTTCACGAGAGAATTAAAGCAGATGGATAATTCCACACCTGAGTATGAGTGGAAGTTAGTTTGGCTTTTAAGTAAAATAGAGAAATTAGGAGTGAAAGTTATTCCCTATATGTAAAGTTTTGTTGAAGTTAGGACTGAAATTTGTCCCCTACATATAAGAGTTTTGTTTGATGTACCGAAACTTTTGTGTTCAATGAAATCTGTTCTAAGATGATCACTCTTGAGTAACACCTTTTCATATATGCATTTTCATTTTGCATCTTTGTATTTTTCATTTTTGCATTCATACTTTTATGTTTGCCTTTGAATTGCACATTTTGCATTCTTATTTTTCCATATATGCATTTTTTAAGTACTATTATGTTCTTTAATTATAAAAACATGTAAATAATTCATGAAAGGTTTCTGTAACAGTAAAAACCAAGATCATTCATTTATTTTACTGTACCATCATCATGAAAACAATGGAGCAATCTTATAAGGGACTACGAGACCAGTGGCCAGAACTATTGACAGGGTTACCTCAGGATATAAGGAAAGAAGCATCAGATTCAGTACCAGATGAATTAGATCAAATTATTCAGGGAATGGAATCTGATAAGGAAAAGATAACTGCTAAAGAAAAATCATGCTATCAGATTGAAGAGTCGAGAAAGATAACATACCCTGGGGCATCCCACTCAAACCCAAATAATAGCCTCATTAATTATTCACAATATGAGGAGAGAGTCAAGAGGACAGAAAAAGCAATCAGAAACATGAAAGATGTTAGTGCCCACCACAAAGAAGTAGAAGCAAGAAAGCTCACTTTGGTTCCAGATTTGATTATTTCCCATAAATTCAAAATGCCTGATTTTGAGAAATATGATGGTACCAGTTGTCCCCTAATTCACCTGAGAATGTTTTTCAGAAAAATGGAAGGATATTTAAGTTCTGATGATCTGTTAATTCACTCTTTCCATGATATCCTTGCTGGCCCAACAGTAGTCTGGTACAATCAGTTGACCCAAGAACAGATCAAGAGATGGATAGATCTAGCTGATGCATTTTTGGGACAATATCGGTATGTTAAAGGCTTAGCTCCAACACGTATGGATCTTCGAAGAGTAAAGAAGAAAACCAATGAAAGATTTCAAGAACATGCCTTAAGATGGAGAGGAGTGGCAGCACAAGTTCAACCTCCCATATTAGAAGAAGAAATATCACTTATGTTTCGTGATTCCCTTCCAGCGCCTTTCTTCGAGTTAATGCAGGCAAATCCGACGAAGGAATTCGATAATCTTGTGACAAGTGGAGATTTAATTGAGAATTTAATCAGTGAAGAAAACTCAAAAGTCACATCCAAGAGCCCGACGGATCAAAAAGTGAAAGCTGCTGATGTGAATAAGTGTCGCATCCAGAATCTCCGCAACTGCAATAGAAAAAGAGAAAATAGTTGTTCGGATCGACCAAAGAATGTCACACGATCAAGAAAAACTTTGGAAGTGTTTCAAACTTCTATTTCAAACTTATGCCCTCATTTGGTTAAAGGTCAATACATCACACCAAGACCAATGAAAATGTCACCAAACCCTTCTGCTCATAGCTATGATCAAAGTAGTGTTTGTGATTTTCACCTGAGAGTATTTGGACATTCCACGGGTAATTGTAGGCAACTGTTGAAAGAAATAGAGATGCTTGTTGACAAAAGCGTCTTGACACAAGAAATGATCAAGAAATGGGGGGCAAATGAAGACAATGACTCTGATATTATTACACACCCGACATTAAAGGAATAACAATGCATAAACAAGTGGAAGTGTTATCTACCACTGTAGTACCTTTTATTTTCAGCATCTTGTTTGAACTTGTTTTTTTTTTGTTCCTTTCTCCGCTTTTTGTGCAATAAATAAATGTGTGTTGCTTCTATGGTTATGAGCAAAGAATCAAGTTTTAATCTTGAGATTATTGAGTATCGAGTAGATTAAATATTCTTTTAAATTTGCAAGAGTTATAGATCTATTGACAAGTGATAAAATTATATCTTCCATATCCCATCCAATACCAATTACTCGACCCTTACCAAAACCAAATCCTGACACTACATTTATCTAAGACTCTGAATAAATGTCTCTACCTGTTTTTGAGACACCAATTCTAGATGTTTACCTTCTCGGATAGAGTTGGTTGGTTTATGATATTACCTCTTCCACCATATATATGATATGATCTCAAAAGTCACACATTTGACCTTCAAAATACAATGTCATCATAAAAAATAACTTCAAAAGAACCAAACTTTCAATTATCCGTGAATCTTCCTGTAAGAGGAGACTAGATGAAGCAGTATGGACCATCTTATCGAACATAATTAGGGCATACTCAAAGAAGAAGGAAGTGATTGATTGAAATAAATATATCATGCATTAATTACATTTTTTCATGTAAATAAAGTTAATCTTGAATATTCATCCCCCTGTGGATACCTCCTTTTACAAAGGTTTCTGTGTATGAGATGATGAACGGCATTGTTTCATTTATCCTTTATTATATATATATATATATCTTTTATTGTCCCCATTTGAGCCTGAATAATATTTCTTCTAATTCAACCATAACCAAGGATCACCCTCTACATTGGGGGGCAAGGTAAAGGATATTGGCTCACAAGAATAAAGATTGTCAATACAATTTTATTACGAAGACAAGTTTCCATGAAGTCATGAAAGTTTTGAACTACAAAGTATGTCAAATACAGAGTGCTTGAAGATCAATCCAATCAAGAATAATGGAAAACCTCCAAAATGCAAAAGGAAAAGGAGGTTCTCAAAGCAATTGAAGTATTATACTCATCCAACAAAGAAAGAAAAAAAAAAGGAAAATGAATCAAGATGGTGACTTATTGAGCCTCAAGTTACAAGGTTGATCAAGTACGAACAAGAAGCAAGAATGCTGAAGATATGAGAAATTGGAAATGAATCCAAAATTTGGCAGTCTAGAGGGATCCAAATGATGGAAAAATCCCCAACAAAAGATCCAAGTTAAGCAAGGCAAGATTGATGGCATCAGAATGAATTGATCCTTGGTTTGATTACCCTTAAACACTTATTTGGGCCTTTTTATCCCTTTCTTTCGTAACCATAAGCCATGGCCTACGTTACGTACCTGAAAAGTCCATTCTAATCATACATGGATTTCTAAGTAAAAGATGATATCTTTAGAATTCATTCCGCCTTCTAAGATTGATTTTTATTTGCAAAAATTGGTTTTTAAAATCTTTAATGCATGATATGAAAAATGATAAAGGGGGGTTCAAGATGTAAATTTTTAAATAACATCTTGAAACCAAAGGAGGATTCAAGTTGAAACCTAAAAAGGCGGCTCGAATAATGAATGGTGCAACAATGACATAAGAGACGATCTTAATGAAACACCGCACATCCCAAAGACGTTTATGAGAGTCTGGAAACGAGAAGCATCTTTACAAGATGAGCATAACAACCATTTCTTCAAATTAATGGAAGCCCAAAGAGACATATATGCTGGACTAACCTGAGAACCTGAGAGACCTTACTTTATCCGAATCAACCTACACCTCAAATCAGTCAATAATTTTGACACTTGCCATAGGACTATGATTTTTGAATGATTTAAAAGTGTAGTTGATTTATTTGATATTTATTAAACTCATTGTTTATGATCTGATTCTATTGTGAACCTGAGAAGGGCAATACTTTGTAAAATTCTTTCATTCTTCAATAAACAACGGAGAAGAAAACATTTTCAAACAGGACAGTCTCAAATGGAGAAGGTCCTTGAAGCAAGTTGATGCCTGTTCTATCTCTGTTATAGAAAAAGAATGAATGAGGCTAGAATGATGAAACATTTCACTTTCTTGAAAGCAAATGGTCCAAGAAGCCAGAAAGTCTGGAGAATTGAACTTGTAACGCTCGCCGGTGACATTATTAGCAATCTATCAAGAAAGATTATCACTTATCTCATACTGAGGGCGATAAGCATCACCAGACAAATAATTTTCCCCAACCATCAATTCATGTTCTCTAGAAGATTACATCACAGAGATATAAGGCCCAATAAGATGTATTATGGG